GATATTGTCCATATTGGGTAGAAGACCCCTATTGATTTTGGGGTCACAAGGTCAAAGGTCAAGGTCACTATTACTTAGAAATTGAAAACAGTTTCTTGAGCATAACTTAAGTTCCATTTAGCCCACAATATTCAAAGTTCATTGGATGATTGTCCATATTGGGTAGAAGACCCCTATTGATTTTGTGGTCACAAGGTCAAGGTCACTATTACCTTAAAACTGAAAACAGTTTTCGGAATATAACTTAAGTATCATTTGGCCTACTGTGTTTAAACTTCATAGTATGATTGTCCATTTTGGGTAGAAGACCCCTAATGATTTTGGGGTCACAAGGTCAAAGGTCAAGGTCACTTTTACCTTAGAATTGAAAACAGTTTCTGGGGCATAACTTAAAGTTCCATTTGGACCACAATATTGAAACTTCAAAGGAGGATTGTTATTTGAAGGATGTAATACTTTATTTTACTCCCATGTCTTACAAATGCTTCATCTTTAATAAAAAAAAATCACTTTCGGGCATATAATGCTCCGCCTAGCGGTGCTCTTGTTCAATACATGTGATTACTGAAACACGTATCTATGTATTATATTTTCATTTGTAGTTACATGTAATTCATACTGCATTTAATACATGAAAGAAAACCAGAACCCAAACGTTATGCAAATATTGCAATTGGATACCGTTTCCAAGTTACCAAAATGTCAAACAGTGCTACAATGTCGGATATAATTATAAAGTGTGAGCATAGAGCAAACAAAACACAAATTACATTTATATAACAATCAAACCAAAAACACAGTGTTTTGTACAATTTTAAATCATGATTATGGTACACTTAATAATGATATATTTTAGCTTTAAGCCCCGTAAAAGGTCATGCTACTTCTTCACAAGATGGAGTCTACACAATTCGGGCATGTCAAGCAGAAAGAAACATGATTGATCTGTATGATAGATTCCAAGATGAACATACCAAGGCCACATCACTTTCTCTGACATCTGAATGCTGGTTTGCAATAAGACTTGACCTTCTTTGTGCCATTTTTGTAATCGCAGTATCATTCTTATGTTTTGCGCAGAGTGATGGTAAGTTTACATTTTACTCATGTTTCACATATTAAAAAGGTTAGGTGAACACGAAATAAAAACATTATGACGGGAAATTCAATTTCTACACATATACTATCGGAGAAAACAAAACTTCAACCCATTTCTTACTAAGATAACATTTTCAAATAATTTAATTGGTAAAAAATCTAAATAGATAAGTGACTCACAAAAGTTTAGTATTGGATATCAATACACAATATAAATTACTGTTACAGTACATTTTGTTTCTGTACAAAATCAAAAATATTTTAATTCTATTTTTTAGGACTGAATGCTGGTTATGTGGGTCTTTCTGTTACATATGCTATGTCTTTAATGGCTTTATTTCAATGGTGTGTGCGACAGAGTGCAAATGTAGCGAACCAGGTAATCTTATCATTAATTTATTTATTTATTAAACATATCATTATGTTCCTCAGTGGCAAAACAGGGATTTTTATTAGATAAATTCACAGGCAAAGAACATGTTTTGATAAGAACAAGGCAATATAAAGTTAGATAATGAATGTGCAATTTCAGTAAAGTACACTACTAATAAATAACAATAAAATGAACATATCATTGAAGAAGAAATGTTCAAGTCAGAAACCTTGTAGTTTTTTGAATTACACAAGAATTTCGTTCACAAGTGTCAAGGGTTCGAGTTCGAGTATATTGACATCATATATATAAAATTGTCTTTTAAATGCGTTGCAGATGGTTTCGGTTGAAAGCATTTTAGAATACATTAAACTTACGCCTGAATGTACCACTGGGAAAGCTCTTCCTCCTGAATGGCCAAAGAATGGTGTAATATCATTTGTACGGGCAAGTCTCAAATATCCCGGAACCGAACAGCCCGTTTTTAAAGACTTAAATTTCACCATCACAGAAAAGGAAAAGGTGAGTTTTAGTCGTATTTTTAGACAGGTACATGAATAACCCGGGGTCAATATGTTCTAAAAAGACAAAACAGATACACTTTTATAACATAACATACTTATCAGAAAATGATTTGTTTATTCTTACGTTTGCTAGAATTCGGAATAATTATGGTACAGGAATGAACTGAGAGCAACAAAAATTATTGGTATTCTATATCAAACACTACATTGTAATGAACTATTTTTGATAAAGGTAAATAAATATTTCTCCACTTTATAATCACAATGGGGGCAACATAGCATGCAACATTAAAAAGAGGTAACCTAAATCTTACGTTACAACTTTGTCATATCAACTGCTTTCTTATGTACTATCATACAAACGAGCTATATATCTCTTTAATTCTATTATAAAATGTTGTAGGTAGGAATTGTTGGCAGAACCGGAGCCGGCAAAAGTTCTTTGATCACAATGTTATTCCGCTTAGTAGAATCAGAAGGTCAGATTTTGATAGACGATAAGGACATTAGAGAAATAGAGCTTCATACATTGAGACAGCAGATTGCCATTGTCCCACAGGTGTGTATAATAATTGACATACTTCATGATAATTAATAACACATATTTCAGCAGTAAACAAGCGTTTGCATATGCTTGATATATATATATAAATATCGATTTCATTTTCTGTTTATTCTTCACTTTTACAAACTAATAACCAATAAGCAGTGAAATCATCTTTCACAATCAAATAATGAAGCACTGATATTAGAATAGAGCGTTTGAAGAAACAATTAAGTTTTCCAAACAAAAGTGAAAATAAAAAATGATCCAGTGTTTGAAAGTAAGCGACTGTACAGTCATTATTTAGACATATATTCATTTTAAAAGGATATTATTTTAAAATGCATCTATTGTACGGCCTTTGAACTGCCAAATATCGGTGTAAGAATTAAAATTCTTTATTAACTATTTCAAGGATCCTGTTCTGTTCACGGGATCGTTGAGGAGAAATATAGATCCATTTAGACGTTATCAAGATGAGGAGATTTGGAATGCACTTAACGAGGTTTTGTTCTGTTAATAATTACCTTTTAATATCCTTAATAAAATATTTTTTTATTTTCTTTTTTTCCTTTTTCGTTAATCTAGATTATGCAAATTAGGTGTCTTCTTTAAATAACTGTGCCTGATTCATTTCTTTAGTTTTTTTTGTTCATTTTCTTTATTTTTGGATAAATATTAGCCAATAAGGCTTTATTGCGTGTGATGTTTAATAGAGCGCTATTTGTATTTGTGTGTGAACATGATTATGTTATATGATATGTAGAATTTTCTTGTGTTGTAACGATCTCTTGATATTTCGGAATAACAAAATGATATTGAGAAAAGCAGGACAGGAGAGCTATTGTACAAGGTCATGTTAGTTTAAAAGTAGTTTTAATGACATAATGATTTATAAGACAGTTCCTATAAAGACAGCCATAATTTTGTTACTAGGTGCAGCTGAAAGAAGAGATTGAACAGTTAAAGGAACATCTGGATTTTAAAGTTGCTGAAGGTGGTAGTAATTTTAGTGTTGGACAACGCCAGCTCATTTGCCTATCACGAGTTCTTTTGCTGAATAGGAAAATAGTCATTATTGATGAAGCTACAGCCTATGTTGATTACCAGTATTTTATAATTATTCTTGTTCATCATTTGCAGCTCATTATTTACCTACATATAATGAAACATATTGTTTTCAAAAACTAACAAAGATTAAAGGTCAATATTGTAAATATTGCATTTTTACATTAACAGAGTCACTTTATAAATATCTCAATATCAAAATATGGCAGGATACACAATTACATTTACTTAATAAGTATATAAATGTTCATAATTGTGAAAGGTTTCTTTTGGAAATGACATCAATAGAGTGACGAAAGTTAACCTATTGTTACTTGTCTATTTTAATGTTCACTTCTTTAAGATTATTATTCATTTCAGGACGGATGCTAAAATTCAAAGTGTGATTAAACAGAAATTTAAAAACAGTACAGTTCTTACTATTGCTCATAGATTGCAAACAGTTATGGATTTAAACAGAATTTTGGTATGGTTGTTTTTTCTGATTTGGTAGTGCTTATGTGAGATTCTTTGTATTAATCTGTATGATTCTGTATTCAGAATATGCCAATCTGGCCAATAAAAGTGCTTTTACATGGACCTGTATAAAATATTACAGTATAATATTTTGAAATTTAGTGTTAATTATAAATGCACTAAATTATCGCTTCACCTACTAAACATGGTAGCTAATTATTTTGTTTGGGAACTTTTCATTTTAATTTTACATGATTTATTAGTGTTAAATATTCTTTCGTTTTCCTCAGATATGACCAATAAAACAGGAAAAAAGGACCACACAGTTTTTATAATCTTATTGTTTGATTTGTCAATTATAGCTTTACATAATTTAAATGATTAATTTGATGTTTAAACAAGGTTCTTGAGGAAGGACAGGGTACATTTGGTGAACCTTACCTGCTTCTCCAGGACAAAGATTGTAGTTTACTGAAGATGGTTGAGGAAACTGGAAAAATGATGGCATCGAGTCTTAAGAAAATTGCTAAGGAAGCATATGAGAGACAACACGAACGTCTGCCTATATCAGATGGTTTTGATAATGTTAATGCGGAAAGCGTCTTGTATAAACGTACGCATCGGGAATGCAATATCACTGTCATAAATGAGGAAGCCAACAAAAAAAACGAAGTTCTTGAAATAAAAAAAGTTCAAGATGTTACTGATTAAATGAACACTGTGGAGTGTCTTACAACTACAGGGCTGTTTCAGATATTTAAGACTTAGTTTAGATTAGCAAATATATATAGACATTATTAATGAAATTTTATTGTTGACATGTTTGAATGCTAACAAAGGTTTTCAAATAAATTTAATGTAGATTATGTCATGCAATAAAAAACACATATAATGTAAAGATGTTTGATTCAAAATCTGTGAAGCCTGTGCATTTTCAACAATTGACACATTATTTAATATGATAGAATTTGCACTATTTGAAATAAATGTAATGAGCATTACGATGATTGTTGAATCAAAAGTATATGCGAACATTTCAGTATTTAATGGTTTACGTAATACATCTTAAGTTTAAGATACTGAAGATTTTGTCTGCCTTTCCTTTTTCCTTCTTCGTATCTGTTTCATATATGCTACAGGAAAATAAGTTAAATGACATTTTTAATCATTATTAAAATAGGTTTATGTTCATCAATTGAAACATACTAAAGCCTAAAATATGAAGACTCTATCTCATATCATTCCATAGATGAGACAATTCTCAAAAGTATTTTATATTGTCTTAAACACAATTCTTAGAACGTCACGCAAACATTAACATGTCATAGTTTCAGTATTTCTATGTGTAAAATTAAAGAGATTTTACCTTTACTTCAGTCGGAAAATATGTTTTTAAAGTGTCATGTAATAACAAGCAAGTAATAATTCATATTTGCCGTTTGTAAGAATCTAAGACGACCGACAAAAAAGTGCAATATTCCTTTTATTCACGCGTTGTAATCTTCGGGTATATAATTCAACATTATGAACAAAATCATATAACCCTTTTGGAGCAAATGCATTGTTTAACAATTACAATTTCCTGCTTTGATATTTAACAATTCATACGCTTGCATTTTCAGCATTTTGATAGTTATTTACAGGATTATTGCTTGATATCAGACAGTTTTAAGCATTGTTCATTAATATGAAAATAATTAATATTTAAAGGCATTAGCTTAACACTTGAGAACATGTGGAATTTTGTTTGTAACCGGAAATCAATAACACTGTTTTCAATGTATGCAATGTATATATTTAACAAGGAAACACTAAATTAATAATTATCGGACTTATGTACTTGTGTGTCTTAGAGAGTGTATAGTAATGATAGTTTTAACTAAGTGATTAAAATCCTTTTTTAGTAAATTTGTTGTTTCACATTTCATTTATTTTTGAATAATACGAATATAATAATGATTTATAAATTTGTCTAGATTAAAAGTTAACATTTTGATATAGAACACGAACAAATATTACAGACTGTCTAAAGTTTCATACGAGTAGGAGATATTAACAATACCATTGTTTTATTTAAATACAGACCGTCAATGCAAATAGGACTATACATACATATTTATAAGATAGTTCAATCGTAAGGAGTGGTAAGAGCTTATTATATATAATAAAACAACTTTTATTTCATGGAAATGACTTTTCCTGTATCAAAAGAAGACACAAAACATGGATTGTAGACTTTAAACCTACAATACATATACTTAGGGTAAGAAACACACATTTTAATGATCAAGATTCCCACTTAAGTTATTTGGTTATACCTTAGCGTTTTAAAAAAGCACAAGTTAATGACTGAGTAACACACAATACAACTGTAATAAGGGACACTTTGACGTTAACTGTGCTATGATCCAAAATAACATAATAATACACTTTGCAAAAAGCCAGTTAATAACAAATAAACTCAATGTGTATTGAACAATTGAGTAATACTGAACGACTAATTTGCTTTTTAAATCAAATAGAAAAGAAAAAAATACGAATAAGCCCTAGGAACGTATTTTTGGAAACTTAAGGATTCCAATATTATCCAGGTAAAGAAAAACACTATCTCAAACAAACAAAAAATATCCTATCTGCTTTAGATAATAAATAGTGTGAGTTGTAATATGATATTGTGAAATGACAGAAGCAAATATATCAAAATGGACCTTTGATAGTCTTAATTAAGATTTTTAGATGATAATCAGAACGGAATAGAACAGAACAGAGTTTTTTTTATTTCCTCCAAAGGTTCATGGCAAAAAAAGCATAGGGGCATACTATATCCAGAAACAATATGATTAACACACTTCCGATAGCACTGTATCTGCCAGTCGATGAATAGTGTTCCGATTTAAAATAGCGTGATGGTTCAATGACATTTAATGATAAAGATGTTTAATGGGGTGGGGGAGCATTCAACTAAGATTTAATACGCACAGTATTCATCTGATGATATAGTTTTATGATATACAAATACAAGGAAAAGTATCAATGTTATTGCTATATTATTAGAAAACAACAACAAACAATTAAAGTAAAAGTTTATATCATATGATTTTGAAATCATCACGATGTTATTGTACATGTATGTAAACAATAAAATAAACAATTGCGCAATAACGGGTCTCCATTCTATATTATTTTATTGATAACCATTAAATGTACACTGATACATAAATACATGTATAAATTATGTATAGTATCATATACAGAAGACAAATATGATCAGCAAGCTACATTAAGACTTCAAGTATATCATGCATAACATTTCAATTACTTTAAAATCCAAACATCAATAATGTGTGCTTTTATGTAGGCTTAACGTATATATTCGTTTAATATGAGACAATTAAAATTCATTGGTTAAATTAAATATTTATTAAAGAAGAAAAGCGTTCTCAAATAATGAGACTTGAAGGTACGCCCGTGTATTCTAAAGTCGATAGGCGAAGCACATTTACAAATCAACAATAATGATGTAATCAATAATTTATCACTATTGTCCAACAACATTGACCTGGCACTTCATTAACTTTCGTAAAGGTCATTTGAATAAACACTGACCAGTATCTATCGAATATATCAATATATTTGCTAACTTCACTCGTCAGTGAGGTGTGGTATATTGGTATAGATGTCGGACTACCGATCTGAAGGTCTATGGTTCGATCCTTTACCAACACCCCATTATGATTTTTTTTAATTTACTCGCAAGAATTAATTCGAAATAGTTTTACTACACCTAGTTTAAGAAAACCTTTTAAGTGGTGTTTTTATACACAGTTATATTTTTTATTTGATAACAGTATCATAAATTTTATTTATAACAGTATCTTTCAACGGTTCTTTTTGTGACATTATGAAATCGTTTATGCTTTAGCGCATACGCGCTATAAAGGCAATTATTATAAATACTACACTGTTGGTACACACAAATAAAAGATTTGCAATAGTTTTGAGAGAATGGCAATTTTAAATATAAAAAATAAGTTGCAGTAATAGGATTCGAACCTACCAGAATTCGTCTAAATTCTTCAAGTGAAGTGAAACCTCCTTTACCAACTGCGCTAAGATTGATTTTTAATTTACACAATTTTATCAATTCGATATTTACATTCATATTGATTTATAGGTAGATCGTAACGTTTACGGAATATACCGACAACAGGGTCAAATGCAAGAGTGCCAGGTCAATGTTGTTGTACAATACCAGCGAGTTCTTGCGCAAATATAATGTATGTTTTACTATACACTATTGGGATCAAATAAAATGGCTTCTACCAAATAATTCAGTTCGTTCAGGTTAGGATAGTTGTTTGTTCATGCACGTGAAAATTATTATTTCAATACATGCATATTTTACGACGGAAAAGAATGTAATTCATAAGTTAGTGTAGCATTTATTATTAATTAATTCCTTGCTGAAGGAAAGTGTTTTGGGGTTACCTACATTGGAAAAGTTTTGCCAGACAAAGGTGATTAATATAAAAGTATACATGGTAATTGTAGTAAGTGTTGTCGTGTGATAACACGGTCATTTTGAGAGAGAGAAAAAAGGTACTTTGTCGTTTCAACTTATAGCACAACGCCGCTCTTTTCCTCTATGGCGGAACGTATGCTAGTTAAATTTAGACATAATGATGCTGGAAAATTTACTTAAATTAGAAAGAGTAATTTTATTTCTACTTGATGATATTATCGCAAAACAATAGACGGTATCTAAAATATTAATTTGCTATAAAGAGAGAAATTTCTTTCTGTATTAAGTAAATAATGTTGCTACTAGCTCCAGAGTAACAGAGCCTACACGTGCTATCTAGAAAAGCGATTCCCCGTCCCCAACGTGCTGTTTTAATTCGTAAACTATTGTTATATGTACGAAATCTTAGTAAAATTATGTAGCTATCTTTGGGAGTATGTTGAAACATTTCTTGTATTTTAAAGTGTTTTAATGAGCTGTAGATTATACCATTATCTGACGTTTGCATTTCATTATACCAACGCTGTTCTAATTGTTTTATTAAAATTTAGTTTTACAATTTTTCTTGGTCATTTTATGTACTTAGACGTGCTGGTTTTGGCAAATGTCAAATTTTCCTACATCTACGAGAATATCTTTAATTTTATCTATCTATTGAAACTCAGTGCAAAACTGATTTAAAAATTAATTGTAAATTTTAACGGATAGTTTATTTTCATTACCAAGCACTAAACGTGACTAAAAGGAGATCATCTTCGCACTGTTGAGCATATATTTTTGGATGATTTGAATATTTATTGTGTTTTCTTTAAATGTTATCCCTTTCAAAATTATTTACGCTGTTTAAAGGCATTGTTTTCAAGCACTAGGCAAACATGTTTATGCCATAAAATCAAATAAATGATATCAATTTGGAATCATACGCCTGTTTGGCCCTATCCGCTAACAAAAAGCACAAAACTATATACAAAAGAAAGGAACAAAATGAACACGCACACGGACACACACACACACGCACATACACAAAACACCAGCAATAGGATTAACACTTAAAAAAAGCTAATAAACAACTGACACAGGAATCGCTTAGTATTCTCGTTATTTATTTCTTTCAAAGTGGATAACGATACGTTCTTATTATATCTCATTTTATGTCAATAAAATATAACCAATGCACTTTCAGAAATTTTACCACGTGATGTTATAATATTATCATTATTGAATTTAAGTCGTTAGCCTTTAACACATTTCCAATAATATCAAATTCTATAACATTAAGATCGTCTGCAAAAAAAAATCGACACAACTTAACGATTTGATTTTCACTGACAACGTATTTGTTTTTCCTTTCAGTTGTAGGTAGAAGCAGATATTACATGTGTATTGAAACTATACTATACAGTGATATTTACCGATTTATCTTTTTGAAACAAACAGAACGAAATAGATCTTTACAAAAACATTACTTATAAAAATATCTAGAATTAACATTAAAGCACAGACATAGATAACAGAGATAGGCAACTTCCTAGCCAGTAAAGATATCACGCGTGCTTGCTAAACTTAAAACTTGTAGCAAGTACAATTTATTAACCAGATATCAAAATCAGGAAAATAATACATTTTCTGAAAGTTTGGGCATGTATCTATGGCTGGCTACAGGTAAAACATTTACAGTTACCATTTAAACAAACGATACATACATTTTTAGAGAACTACTTATTAATTATTGTTACAAAACTATTCATATGAGAAAAAACTGGCTCATTGGGTATGTTCTGCTATGTTTTTCTAAGTGAAAGGCATGGAAAGTTACCAATATTTTAACATGCAGCAAAAGACAAACGATTTAAATGATGTAAAATATATAAGGATCAAATGTACATCCATTAAGTTTTACTTGCTACAAAATGCCTTTTTTTTACTTTTTGATATTTCAATGCTCCTTTTCGGTTATATACATCTCTGATTAAAACAACTTAAAAAAATGAACCTGTACTCTAGAATACTTGATATTGTTATTTCATTAAGGTGAAGACATTTTGCAGAATTGATCATGATAGATAAATGCGCAAATTACACACTCATCGAATAGTAATAAAAGTGTTAGAGTTGAGAATTGAGTACCGCTAAAGCTAGTGTTAGGGGCGTGAGGGATGTTGCACTTATTCGTTATCCCTCATGTCAGACTCACTCATTCCGAGTCTGCAATTTTCATGTAATTTTGTTGTGATTAATGCTTCCGAGGGATCACTTTGTTTCCAGATTACTACATAATTAGTTGTACATTTTTAACAAATGTTACGCTGTATTTATATATGTACACTCCTTACATTAGTGCACATTAGTGTAAACTTTAGATAAAAAAACTTCTTTTCCTACAATACAATCTCTGCTTCAATCAACAAGTATAATATACCGTTAATAAAAGCTCTGTTCTGATTGGCTAATTAACGTTGATGTAACGAGTCTGCAAAAAATGTGAGTTTAATCAAGGCATTATATTCCTTTTAAAGGTAAAACATATACAATATTATAGACACAAGTATATAAATATAAGATACTGCGGTTATAGACTTAAAGTAATAAAAAATATAGTTTTTAATTAATTAATTGAATGATTGAACATTTATAAATTAATTAACTTACAGAAATAGTCGTTTCACGTTATAATATACAATTTTAGACTGATGTTGAGGTAGGTGTATATATGATTATATAGTGTAATTAATCAATTAATTAATATAATTAATTACTCAATAAATAAATAAATAAATAAATAAATTAATTAATTAATTAATATAACATAATTAATTAATTAAGTAATTAATTAATTTGAACTATATACAACGAACTAAAAGAAAGGAAGAAAAAAAATGAAGATAATTGGTTTGAAAACAATTCTCAGACGATTAAAAAAAATCAAATAGTTTTGTTGCATGTTTTATATATCTGCGGCGTTTTATTTATTTCTAACATAATGAAGAAGCCTATAAAACTCTCAAATCTAGTTCACTGACATTTCTTTGGCAGCTGCAAAGTTGATTTTATATGCGATTTTTTTTTTGGTATTTAAAATGGTACCGGTGTTCTTGGTTTCTGGCTTTGAATCAGTCTGAAGTGTTGGAGAAAATGTTACGCTGGATTTATATATGTGCACTCCTTACATTAGTGCATACTTTAGGTAAGAAATGTATTTTTCTTGCTCAAAGACTGATTTATTTCTCTTTCATCTTATACTTCATTTATTGTACATTTATACTTCGCAATTTAATTTTTAACATTTTACGAAAAACGCTGAAATTGACTAGTTTTTATTCAGTAAAACTTTGTTGTTGACTTTGTTTTTTAATTTTAATTAAGATGTTGAAAATGATAACAGTGCTAAAGAATAATACTGATATATGAGACAAAAATGTTAATGAATTTTAAATGAACAAAGAGTAGTGTTATAACAATAAATGTAACTGGATATTTGATATGAGACATTTAAAGTACCAATAGCAAAGTCATTAAAAGCCTGATATAAAATTAAATGATTCATCCCCAGAAACAAATTATTTTATTGTTTAAATGGCAAAGAAATATATAACCAGTATATTTGAAGAGCTTCTGCAATAATTTTTTTTTCCTTTGTCTATATAGATGAAAACGTTACTTCTACCACATGTGTTGAAGCTGCTGATAAACATAGATCGGCACTACTAGATTGTCACGGAGGTTATATTTCCCACATTTCATTCGAATCTGGCACAGGGAGATGTTGGCAACAAGATGGTAAGATATCTTTATACAAATAGCACAACCGCTTGTAAATAGAGCATTTCCTGTTTATACATTAATTCAAAGATTAACTATTTCTCAATGTCTGGCTACTAGTATATATACCATTAAATATTATATGTTAAATAAAGTGTATAACCGTCTCTTTAAAGCAAGTAATCACAAAGCAATCTCTGACATTTCTCCGCTTTTTTCGTAGGGCAATGTATTGGAATGACGCTTCCATCAAAAGCGAACTTCCTTGGTTGTCACTGGCGCAAAAGCTGTTATATCCTCTGGCCAACCGAACGGATCTTTAGCCAGTATTTTGTCGGAGGTTGCATTGGCAAAAGACCAACTTTTATGGCGGTCAGTTTTGAGTGTTTCAAACCAACCGATTTCCTAGTTGGCTACGGCTACTTCAAGACACCGGGATCAGGTTTAATATCTACAAATAGCTATAATTAACTTTTTACGGTAATAATATTTAAGCATGTACTTACAGACGTTTCAATAAGATTTCATGTCAGATGCGCTCAAATGTAAATATATTTTTATTGAGAATGAGAATGGAGGCCTGGTAAACAAGTGGAACGATTTTCCAAAAGATCCGGAAGAATAATAATCAATAATGATCAATGGTATCATCTCGCACCTGCAAAATACTCCCAATTGGACTGTGTTCTTATATGTAAAAACATCCCTTCGGCTCGAAGGTATGATATGTTTTTATTCTAAGAAATTGTTAAAATATCAAAATATACTATAGCGCACCAAAGATTGTTTTAAGTACTTGATATAATCAAGGAAACAAAAATTTTACTGCCTAATTAAGTCCTGAAAACGGCATAAAGTTTATATCCTAAATGCTCCCACTCGGACTCCCAAGTAAAATGTATCCAGTTTTCAAGCTCAAACCAGACAGTAAAACTTCGAACGTTTGTCGACAAAGATTGGGAGCATTTTGCAGGTGCACGATTACGTAATATCCTACTATTGATGATATGTATTCGAAAATCACATTAAGGTTCATATGTTCCATTTGTTAAGGTGCGAAAAAAATATTGTACTGAAACCTCACTGCAATGGGCGTATCCGTATGTCGAAAAAGTGTGTGCGCTACACTAGTTTATAACAATGTTGAGGAATGTCGTCTGTCAGAATAATAATGAAACAACTGTTATTATGATTTGTCAGTTTTATCACGGAGTGCTATACATGTTTACGTTGATTTTATTTCTTCTTTTTTAGATATAGAGCCTAAAACTTATCTAATCGACATCTGTAGCAAGTTTAGAAGTGTTGGATACAGTGATGAATCATGTGACAAAAGACAAGGATTTTCCGACTCAGGCGGTATCATCAGAAGCAACGCACATTATCCTTTGTTAAATTTATCACCTGAAAGAAAGTGTTCTGTGAAACTGTACTGGCCAAAAGGACAAAAGCTCCTTGTAGCCGTTCATAGCGTTGACTTTCGTAATAACGATAGCCTAATAATTATAAACAATGGCAAGCCAGAAAATGCCAATTCTAAAAAATCTTTCCAATTCTCAGAGGGAAACGAAACTTTATTTGTTTTTAGTGTAGGAGAGAAGTACTTTATGAAAATCGTCAGTGGTTTTCTACTTTGTTTCAAATGTAAGTTAATATTACTTAACATTTTGATGTACTAATATATTTTATTCAGACCATAATTCCGTAATCAAATATTAGAGAAATTTATTCAGTATTTTTATGCCCACATTGTAAGAGGGGGGGTTGGCATATAGATTTGCCCTTTTTCGCCCGTCCGTTTCATGTTAGTTGCCATATCATATACCTGTACAAGTGCTTGAACTAGAGTCAACAAACTTTAAAAGAACGTAAATTGTGCACGTGGGGCTACACGTTTGCGTGTGTATTATTTCAGTTTTTTAGATTTCTTGCACTTTACTATACTTTTGCAATTTCTAAATCTAGAGTCATGCACATTTACAGGACTGTTGCTCAGCATGAGTAGGTATGCATTTGTAGTTGGGAAAAATCAAGATATCAACATTGGAAAAAGTTGATGTTGTTTTTATGCCCTAGACCACTTAGGAGTATGTAGAATTCCCTTTATTTATCCCTCTGTCATACTGTCCTGCTGTTACTAGGGGCACCTTCTTGTTTTCATTTCATTTAGCCAAACAAAATAATTTATTATTTTTGCACGCATGCATGTAAAAAGGAATAATAAACACGTTATAGGTGTAGCAATGACACACGTAATATTTTCTATAAAACGTCGGGAAAATAATTTCGATATTTTTTATTAACCTAATCTTTCCATAAATATCTTCATACATACACCTTTCTCTAGCATTTTATGATCGCAAAAGAAAATCTCATGTTTCTTAATGATCTATCTCAACTATTTCTTGTTGCATTAAATGATCATTATTATTGTTTTTCACTGACACATCCTATATTGTGCCAATTATTTAGCAAACTTTGCTATGTTTGTATAATGCAATGCTTGTATGGTGTCACAACAAAATGAATGCACGGCCGTGAAATACAGTTTTTTTTTCACGGAAGTAAAAAAGCTGATAAATAACAACTGTTGTTCATTTTCATTTTTTTATCTACAATATTAGATCGCACATAGTATTGTTATCTCGAAAATGTACATTTGCTTGTGTAACATTTTGTGTATGAATATATAAAAATATATGTCTTTGCATTAGTTTGACACGTATGCATTTTCTGTAAACAGTTGTACCTAAAGATGACCAGAGCTTTCAGGATGCATGTGCGATAATCATGGAACCTGGAAATGTAAGTCTAGTGAGTGGCGTGCAAGATCCTTTCCAAGGGATTGCATCGGTAGATTTGTTGCAGGAACCTTTGAAATCTGATTTGACTCCGTGCACTACAACATCTCCTGCCACCGAACAAATACCAAAACGTAAATATATTACCTAAAACTGCACTATTTCGTACGGACTGTGGTAATGTTACTCGTATATAGAATATATAATGTAATTTGTATACTGCTTACACTTTAAAAATAATTTCTTTTAAGGTATTTAAAGTATTGAAAGATATATCATTAACTTTACTACATTTACATACATACTTTAATTCAATGTATAAATTGTGATGTTTACAAATAACTTAAGTTAATTTATATCATCTATGCATGAGCGAGTTTTTTTTGTACGTAATGATATAATAATCTGTTTTGTCTATTCTTTGAAGGTTGTTTAAAAAAGAAGCCAGGAAAAAAGAGAGACAAATGTATTAGAAAGCAAAAGAACAAGGAAAGGAAGCTTAAGAAGAAGAAACGGAAAAGAAAGAAAGGAAAAGGAAAGCGTGTTTTGGACAGGGAAAAGAAGGTTAAAGTAATTAAAATAAGTAGAAGAAGGCGAAACAAATAGATGATGTTAATGAATAGATAGATATGTAAAGAGAATACAAATCGAACAAGAAACGTTTCATATATGACCATGAAAAAAATTCTGAGCATCTAGATATTAGTTAAGGAATTAGATAGCTTGTATATTCTTTTGAACATACTTATGTTTGTAAGTGATAACATCATAAAAAAGTATAATGCGGATAATGTGTTCAGGGAAAATATGGTAAATAGTCTGGCAATAAAAGATGACATAATAACATTGTTGTATTTGCTCTGACTTGTTCACCTTTCTTACATTCTCACATCTTTTATTTATCACAATAACAATAAAAAGTCTGTAGAAGGCCAAAAAAACTATGTTATGTTTTTGTTTCTATTGAAACAAATATTTGTGAAAGAAAACTTGTACAGTACTAATCATTATACACAGCATGTAATAAGACGTGTAATAACGTGGTGCTTTAAACGCGCTATATTATCAATAAATTTGAACAATTACATGCTTATTGTGTTGTTAATTCTTACTTAATTTTGCATTTTTTAATTTGATACTAAACCAATTTAACGTACAATAAACAGATGTCAAAATTTAAAGCACAGCAAGTCTATTGTGTATAAGCCTACGGAAATTGCGTGTGTATGCCCTTAGCAAGTTTTGTTCGTTTTCGGGTTGTTCGTCACATCGACATATTATAGGCCATATCGCGACGTTCCAGCTTTTCTGGTGGAGGAAGACCTCAGGTGCCCTTCCGTGCATTATTTCAGGCAGGAACGGGCACTTTAGTAGAACCACCAGCGTTCCGCAAGCTAGATGGATAGCTTCCTCACATGAAAGAATCCAAAGTCCCTGTCGGGATTCGAACCCACAGCGGTTAGGGGGAAGTGTTTTGAAGTCAACGACCTTAACCACTCGGCCACGGACGCCCCCCACCCCTTAGCAAGTAATCGGAAATATTAGATGATAAGATGTATTTAAGCGTAAAAATACATTTGGTAAGGTTAATACTGATAATAACATAAGGAAAACAAGAAACAAGTCATGTTATAAGCGCTGGTTAAAAGAATGAAGAACTTTGAGCGACAGCGTTTATGTGTTCACTAAAGTAGATTTTAGGCATGCTCGGAATAATTGCATGCCTCCACTTTTTTAGGTTAGCAAATGTAAATTTATTTACTTTTGTTTGTGTTAATGTAAGACCACGTTGTACGAATTTCTCTTTTGTACTGATTTTTCCTGCCAAACTAAAAATATGTTTATGTCGAAACCTCGTTTCTTAGTTTTAATACTAAAAGGCTTGAAAAAAAATATAAAGTTGTTTTTCATCTAAGGCAATTAAATGATAAATAAATAAAAGCTATTCAATGCATTTTCAATACAAAGTTGTATTTTAAACAAATTGACTCTTTAACTTTTAGGGGTCTTCTTTTTGTGCAGTGCATATGCTTTCTTATGGATTAACTCAAGTTTTGCATTTTTATGTTTGTTTGTTTCATTTTACGCCTTTTCCCAACAGTATTTCAGTCATATAGGCGGGTAGTTTCCTAACCATCGTTCCTGGAGGGTTACACCAGTACTAGACAACCTTCCTCCGTGCTAAACTACCAAAGCATCTCCTGGGGATCGAACCCACGCCAGAGAGGTAACTGTGTTAGATGTAATCGACTCTAACCCCTCGACCACGAAGGCCTTTGACCAAGAAAAATATGCATTTTCAACTTGTGTCGCGCGTAGCCCAAAAAGCATTTGACATAGAGTCATGAAACTGTACTGACATGTTCATCAGCATGTGATGCTGTTCACTTTTGAGACTGCTTGGCTTATTGTCCTTGATTTAGTTAAAATTTGCAATTTTCGACTTGTCACGTGTAACCAAAAACGTGTTTGACATTGAGTCATGAACTTTTACAGAAACGTAGGTCATCATGTGTAGAGTGCACCTGGGAAATTGCTTGTGGATTGACTTATTTTAAATTTGCAATTTTTAGCTTGTGCCGTGCGTAGCCCAAAAAGTACTTTTCCTAGAGTAATGAAACTTTTACTGAAATGTTGGTCAGCATGTGTAATATTTGTAGAGTTATTGCCGATCGTGACTTAGTTAACAAATGCAATTTGTAACTTGTATTTCACCTAGAGTAATGAAACTTTTACATAAATGTTGCTCAGCAGGTCTTTATTTGTACATTGCCTTAGTTTATTGCAATTTTAAACTTGTAGCACAAAAAGTATTTGACATCGAGTTATGGAACATGTTTAGTTGTGCACCTGGAAGTTTACTTATTTATTCAGGATTTATGGGGTAATTGCCCTTGATTAAATAAAAACCCTTCTAAAATTCTGTGTTATGGGTATCTCTACAAATGCTGGAATAAACTGTACAAGAATATTAATCAGCGTAAAGCTGTGCACCTGCGGTTTTGTGTGTATGTCTATTTCAGTTTTATTAGAGTAATTGCACTTGACTTACTATAAATTTGCAATGTGTGAGGCTTAACAAGTAAAAAAGGTAAAGGTCTTGTTTATTATAGTGTCACCCCTACTGAAAGGGCCAGCCATTTTGACTTATGAGACACCTTTTGGTTGCATACCATGTACCTCCCAATTCCTACCACTATGCCAGGCGCCAGGCGGATAGAAATCGGTAACCATTCATTTTAACTACCTCGCGGCTCACGAAGCGGCCATTTCGGAACGAATCCCACGAGAAACATTCATCCTTCAATTAACGCTCCCCGTGGGGCTCGAACCTTCGACCTCCCGATCCGAAGGCGGACGCCTTAACCACTAGGCCAACGGTACCGGTATGTACAAGTATGTACAAGTATGTATTTCAGTATTTCTTTGCCCTTGACCGAGTACAAAATTTGCAATTTTCGACTTGTGTGGTGCATAGCCGAAACAATATTTGACCTAGAATCATGAGACTTTACAGACATTTTGGTAAGCATGTGTAGTTGTTCACCTTAGTGTCTGCTTGGATATTTTTCAAATTAATAAAGTTACTTAGTGAAAACCATTCCAGAATGTTTATTGTTTGATTTTATTAACCAGTCAACGCATACTAATTACACGGCCAATGAACACAATATAATAATCTGCGACAGATTTTCAGCATGTTTCGTGAGATGTACGCAGTTAGATATGATTTAGTTTAATTTGGTGCTATGAAAACAATATATTGAGCGGTATATCGCAATAGAAAAAACTATAGAACTACGGTTTATGGTTTATAATTGTCCTACGTCTTGTAAGATCGAGACCGTGTAGAACCATATGTTTTCTATATTTAAATTTTTAACATCATTGAAGCTATGAACTGTTTTTATGCTTTGCATTTTCCTTAATTCTATTTCTTTCATAATAACAGTTTAAGAATTGATATCAAATGTTTATGTCATAGTATGTAAACGTGTACGCTGAAGACCTTAAGTTAATGTTCTTACGGATCAAAATCAATAAATGTAATTTCAATTTTGTATTAACACAATACAAGTCGAGAACAATGGTGTTACTAAGTTGCTTCATTATATCCGTGTTTACAATTCTGCAAGCCCTCCGCCATGTCCGTTAAAATATAATATGAGTTAACAATGGCAACACAGAACTCTATTATATTAGGCAAGTGACCTTGCGATTGCGGATATGACAACGACCTATACATTAAGCTGGTGTGACTTTTCAAAACATTACGTATATACTCCATATAAATTATCCAGAACTGAAGTGGGATAGAATATTTAAATGAATGCTACCACGTATTTTGCATTCAAAACTGACAGGTCAATAAAATCAGACTAAATGTCACGTGTACCTCTTAAAGTGCTTGAGGTAGAATCGACAAACTCTACAAGAATGTTGTGTGGCTTAATTCAGTTTGGCTATTTGACTTGGTAAAACATTTTCAATTTATGTCGCTTGTAGCCCCAAAAGTATATAACCTACATTCATGAACTTTACATGACTGTTTGTGAACATGTTCATTTGTGTATCTGAAGTTGAGTTTGTGTGTTTTTATTTTTTAGCCGGGTTGCACAGGTGCACACACGGGTAATAGTATTGTGAATATCGGGCGGCGGGCGGGCGGTTATCGGATGGCGTGCGGGCGGTAAAAAAAACGTTTCGTAACAGTTTTCTCAGCAACTACTTATTGCAGCCTCTTGATATTTGACATACATCATTGACAGGTGGTCCAATACAGTGGGATTTGATTTCAGGTATGTCACTGTGAACTGACCTAGTTAAATTTTCGACATTAATGGTCAATGTTAGGAAATTTACGTAACAGTTTTCTAAGCAACTTCTTTTCACAGCCTCTTGATATTTGGCATACAGCATTGACACATGGTCCCATGCTGTTCGATTCGATTTCAGGTCTGTTGCTTATCCACTTCCTATTTACTGACTTAGTTGAATTTTTGACATTAATTGTCCATAGTAGGAAATTTTGTAAAAGTTTTCTTAGCAATTTCTAATCACAGCCTCTTGATATTGTTACGTGCTGGTCCTATTGGACACGGGAAATCAGGCTTACTCTTTATATCAGGGACTTCTGCTTTCGCGTGGACATGTGACGAACGATTACGTGTATATTGTTTGACCCCGCAGCAAAGACAAATGGACTTATGAATATAAGGGAGTTATACACCTTTTAAAGAACTAAAATCTGATCAATAATGGACTAAGAATAACAGTTTAACGAATTTTATTTGAGGTATTCAATTATGCACATTCATTCATCAAAATGTAAATAGTGTTATAATAAACAGATATTCAGATCAACACTCGTTTCTTGTATATAAGACTAAAGGTATTCGTTATGAAAATTATGGAACAAATATGAGGTGTCGGTGGCTTAGCAATGTTTAAAGGAGAATTATATAACAATTTACTTACGAAATATTTTAAAATCGATGTAAATTAATAGCGTAAGTTATTACGTTAACCAAACAAATTATTCAACAAATTCCGAGCGTTTGCTACTGAAATGCGTAAGTTTCGAAGTAAACAACTTCTATTCAAAGTATTCCTGAAAATTTATCTTACTTAAAATTAATAAGACAGATCTAGTTCAATAAAAATAAGTAAAAATCTATTAAATCGTTAAGTTAAATAGAGCTACCTATTCTGGAATAAGATCAGAACGAGAAACGGTAATGTATTGCTATGAGTTTTCCAAGCTGCGGAGTGCCTTCAAACAGTGAGGAAGCGCCTTTTATACACGCGATTCAAACATAAACAAGAATGTTTGTCAACAATTAAAAATAAAAGGGGACCCATAAGGGGTTCAAACAGTTCCGACACCTCAAACAGTTAATAAATAAATCAACATATCAATGCATAGAAATGAAATCAATACGTACATTTACCATAGGTAATTATTACAATATTCAAAATACAATAATAAGGAGTGAGAAATAGATAGCGCGCCTATTAATAATTAAATACAAAAAACATTGATTCAAACACTTCCCGCCGAAAATCCCCCGTAGAAATCAAGCAG